CGGGTCCCCCCTCCCCGGCAGAGGGGGCGTGGGGAGAGGGTGTCCCCAGCAGGGCCCCAGCCCCTTTCCCCATGGAGCCCCCGCGGGTTTCAGGGCTCCCGGGGGATGGCGGGGCCCGGGCTCCGCACGGTGCCGGATCCTGCCAGAGCCCGGCCCCGCCGCTCGGGGCTGCCAATTCCCCGGTGAACCAGAGAGAGAGGAGCCTTTCCAATGACATTGGCTGCGTTATCCCAAAGGCGCCTTTCGAGGGTATGGCTGGAGTTTTTTCTCATCTCTGCCTTCCCCACACATCCCTAGCCGTGTTTAATGACTCTCTCCTCAGATGCAGAGAGCCTTGGCGCTTCCATGCCCTGTCCAGGTAAGCCCTCGCAGGTGCTGGTGGGTGGGCAGCGGGAACAGTCTCCTCCTTTCTCATCCCATTCAGGGGTGATGGGGAGGGGAGAGGAGGGGGGAGAAGAGGCTCCACATCTCCAATTATCTGGAAAAACCTTGGAAATGGACATTGTTCCCTCCAGGAGTGTGAGGGTGGCCGAAGGAGGGGGAGGATTGCGGGCGGGAAGGTTTTGCTGGATGCACAGAGCCCGGTGGAAACTCCAGCCCCGACTCACCGGGATGTGATGGGGAAAACACAAACTCTCCCTCAAAATGACCTTTCTCTTTCACCGTCGCGCTCCCTCGCGTGGTTTTTTTGTTATTATTATGATTTTCCACAGGCAGGGATTTCCGCTGAAGGATATTAGTTAATCAGATTCTGAGAAGCAGATGTTGGGTGATTTAGGAGGAAAAAACGAGGCAACTTTCTAGTTCAAGCCTCGGCTGGAGCGCGGTGCAAAGCTTAGGGAGGATGTTTTGTGGCTTTGGGATGCACTGGTAATTTTGGTCTTAATTATAAATGAGACAGATGAGGTGGTTTGGGGACAGGTGGGGCACCTCCCTCCAGGGATGGGGACAGACAGACATCAGACGCTCTGGGGCTTTAAGGTAAGGAGAGGAACCTCAGAGCCCTGCATCCCATGGGAAGCTGTTCCAGGGGCTTGAGATGGAGTTAAAAAGCTCCTTTCCATGTCCCAGCGGGGAGAATGAGCCCGGCTTTCCCCTCACAGCCCTGCCCACGAAATGGAAATTGTCCCATCATAGCCCTGTGCCTCAGTTTCCCCAGGAAGGATGATGCCAGGGGGGCTCAGCTCGATGCTCCTCACATCACAGATTTCAGCACATCACAATTCTCCTGTGACCAGAGATCTGATGTCCCTCCAAGCCGAGGCTGGGGATCCTCCTTGCCCAGAGTGCAGTGCTGAGAGCCAAGCCCTCCTCATGCTCGAAATAGCAAGATCCCCTCATGGTGCTGCCTTGGGATGCAATTTCCTCTTGTGGTTCCCTTCCAACACAGCCTATTCTGTGATTTTGGGAATTTCATGGTCAGCTTTAGCTGCTCAGCTTTGTTCCACTGCCAAGAGAAGTTCCTGTAAGTGTGGACCCCTCTGGAGGTGTGGTGGGCCAGGTCAGCTCACCCTGCCGCTGGACACTAAACTCTGATTCCAACTTCATTTTACTCTGATTTAAAAATCAGCTCGGGATTTATATTAAGAAAAAACAAGAACGCAAGAAGGGAATGATGTGTGCTGCTTTTCTTCTCTCCTTTAACACTTCTTTTTCCCTTGAAAGTGCTTTATCTGTGCCAGGTTTGTTGCAGTGTCCCTTTCTAGGCCTCCTGATGCTCCTGAAACTGGGGCTATCCTCAGCTCTAGGTTGCTGCTCTGATGGCACAAATCATCCTGCCAGCACCAGCACCTCACAAATAGTCCAGCCTGGGATGAATGCAGCCCCGTGGAGAGCAGCTGCACCTTGGGCATGTCGGAGCTGGGCACAGCCGGGGCTGGAGGACTCAGGTTTGGAGTCCTTGAGGCTCCCCAGCTTTGCCTGAGGTCACTTTGAGAACACAACCACGCTGCTGCTGCTGCTCCAGGCATCAGTTCAGTCCCCTGACCCAACCACACCTCTACATGTCCCCAAGAAGGAAATTCATCACAAAACCGGCCTGGAACAGCTCTGTAGGGCTGGATTTCTAAGAACAGCCAAGCTTTGTGGGTTTAGTTCAAGTAAAGAAACCTGGTCTGTAAACAGCTTATGATAAATGGTAGGATTTGTCCCCAAATCCAGAATCTCTCCTGCTGAGAGAGGGAGGTTGAGCCTTCTCTGGGACATGGATGTTGGGTCCTGGATGAAGTTGGGGCTGTAAATATGAGAGGAGGAGAGGGAGGATTTGTAGCAAGTCAGGATCTTAATACCCATTTCTGCAACAGATTTGGGATTTTGGCTTGTCCTACCCTGCTCCCCAGCTGTGTGCCAGCACGGATGGATCCTCTCGGAGGAGGCAAAACCTTCAGTGCCCCAAATTACTCTGGTGGAACAGGGAGCTCGAGGCACCAGGAGCAGCTCCTGGTGAGGGGATGGGTCCCTGCCCAGCACTGGGAAGGAAACCCTGCCCTGGGGACCATCCTCATCACAGGACCAGCCCCGGCGCCACCGCCGCTGCTCCGTGGCCTCAATTGTGTTGCTATTCCTGGCAGTTGAGGGCATTTGGGTTTTTTGTCTCCTGTCGCTGGAGCTGGCTGGGTGAGAGAGCCAGAGTGCCCTTGGTGAGCAGCGGTCACGCAGAGCAGCTCCAGGTGTCCTCCTGTGGTGTCTCATGTCTGGGAAATACATTTGGAGGGGAAATTAATCAGGGCACTGAATTTACTTAGAAAGTTCATTCTGGGGAAAATCTCCACAGAACTGTTCCCTGTTAACAGCTAATTTCTCTCTGTGCTTCTCCCTGAGGCAGGACAGGTAATTTCCCAGCTCCATAACTTGGCCTGGTCCCTGGGCTCCTCTTTGACTTTGCTGAGTTCAGAATGATGTTGGGGTGTGGGAGAGGTGTGCCCAGGAATATCTGGGGACATGGTGGCTGTTTCTGAGAGCCTCACAGAGCTGGGAGGGGAAATAATCCACCCCATGGCCTGAAAGGTTCTCTCCAAGTGATCCAAAGGCTTGGTCCTGAGCTTCTTCCTGGGGCTGGGAATATCAGGTCTGAACTCTGGAGGATGTCACCCCATCCTCTGTCTGCCCCAAGGCAAGGGGTCCTGTTCCTGCCCCTCTTCCCAGATCAAAGGGGTTCTCCAAGGCTGGTGGACATTTCTCCTCCTGGCCTGCTTCCTCCTGGGCTGCATTCCCCAAATTCCAGTGGGGTTCCTGCTTTGGGAATTGTTTCCAAACAATGGTTGACCAATCTTCAACACTCCCAGGGCCTCCTGAGGTTTGCCCCAATGCCTCTCCCACCTGGATCGAGGGCTGCTCTTTACTTGGGACAGCTGTGTCCAAACCCTCCAAATCCGGCTCCAAACTTAGGATCCGCACCTGGAAATGGGTGAAACAATCCCTTGTTCTGGGATCACTGGGGAGAGGCTGGGTGGGACACCTGGATTCACCCCCATCCTCTGCTGCCGCCTCACCTTTCGTCTTTGGGTTCTGTAGGTGGCTGGGGAAGGTTTGACAACGGCAAAGCCGTGCCAAAAGGGTGTGCAGGATCCAAAGATGAGCGATTTTTGCCAGTCGGTGGCATTAATGCCTCCAGTAAAAACCAGAGCAGGATTGTGTGACCTCAGGTTGGTTTTACCCTGCTCGTGCACAATTCAGCTCCGTGTCCCTGTCCCTTGCAGATCCTCCTAGCGTGGGAAAGGCTTGGGCAGCCGGCGTCCGCCGCGGGGATTTCTGCTGCTGAGCTGATTAGCGTATGATGGACGTGGCCAGTTGGAAGGAGATGGAGGTGGCACTAGTCAGTTTTGACAACGCTGATCAGATCGTGGAGGATCCCTGCTACTCCAACGACCTCAGCCCCGCTGGGCAGTCGCGGAAAGGCCACCCCAGCTGCGCCAACCTCCTGTCCAACCTGCGGATCCTCATCAACAGCGAGAACGCCAACAATGAGACCATCTTCTCCAGGTTCTCCGCCGAGTTCAGCGACCACCTGGTGGGGGAGAGGGTGGGCATGGATGAGGGGGACCAACGAGTCATCATCAACATCGCTGGGCTGAGGTTTGAGACGCGGCTCAAGACCCTCGACCAGTTCCCCGAGACCCTGCTTGGGGACCCGGAAAAGAGGATGCGTTACTTCGACTCCATGAGGAATGAATATTTCTTTGACAGGAACAGGCCCAGTTTTGATGGGATCCTGTACTATTACCAGTCTGGAGGGAAAATACGGCGCCCTGCCAACGTCCCCATCGATGTCTTTGCTGATGAGATCACCTTCTATGAGCTGGGTGATGAAGCCATGGACCAGTTCCGGGAGGATGAAGGGTTCATCAAGGATCCTGAGACCCTCTTACCAACCAATGACTTTCACAGGCAGTTCTGGCTGCTCTTCGAGTACCCTGAAAGCTCCAGTGCAGCCAGAGGAGTAGCTTTGGTCTCTGTCCTGGTCATTGTCATCTCCATCATCATCTTCTGCATGGAGACCCTGCCGGAGTTCCGGGAGGAGAGGGAGTTTAGGTCCACCCAGGAGCTTTCTAGGAATGTGACAGACACCTTGCTGGCCCACAGCACCTTCACGGACCCTTTCTTCGTCATAGAGACCGCCTGCATCGTCTGGTTCTCCTTTGAGCTCTTTGTCCGGTTCATCGTGTGCCCCAGCAAGACCGAGTTCTTCAGGAACATCATGAACATCATCGACATTGTGTCCATCATTCCCTACTTCGTGACGCTCACCACCGAGCTGATCCAGCAGAGCGAGCTCAACGGGCAGCAGAACATGTCCCTGGCCATTCTGCGCATCATCCGCCTCGTCAGGGTCTTCCGCATCTTCAAGCTCTCCCGGCACTCCAAGGGGCTGCAGATCCTGGGGCAGACCCTCAAGGCCAGCATGAGGGAGCTGGGCTTGCTCATCTTCTTCCTCTTCATCGGCGTCATCCTCTTCTCCAGCGCCGTTTACTTCGCGGAGGTTGATGAGCCGCAGTCCCATTTCTCCAGCATTCCCGACGGCTTCTGGTGGGCCGTGGTCACCATGACTACCGTGGGCTATGGAGACATGTGTCCCACCACCCTGGGCGGCAAGATCGTGGGGACTCTGTGCGCCATCGCGGGGGTGCTGACCATCGCCCTCCCCGTGCCCGTCATCGTCTCGAACTTCAACTATTTCTACCACCGGGAGACGGAGAATGAGGAGAAGCAGATGCTGCCTGGGGAGGTGGAGCGGCTGCTGGCCAGCGTGGCCACGGGCAACGGCAGCATGGAGTCACTCAATAAGACCAATGGGGGTTACCCTCGAGACAAGGCCAAAAAATGATGGTTGAGGGCCTGAGGGACTGGGCACAGTCAGCTGGGATTGGCTGGAAAATGTATCCAACATCTGCATGCTCTGATTATTGGTTTGTTGTTTTTGTTTTTTTTTAAATAATGTGCTGCTGCTTTTTTTTTTCTTTTTTCTAGACATTTTTCAATCTCTGATTTCCTGTGGCTGTTCAAATAAATACCATCTTTCTTATCTCTCTGCCCTGCCCATCGGTCTGGTGTTTTTTATTTGATGCTCATCTGCTTGACATTTCTCTTCTCCGTCCCTGGCATCAGAGTGGAAGTCCCCACATACAGAGATTTCCCCATTTACTGGAGAGGAAAAAGGGCAAAATGACATTAAATGCTTGGCTTGGTGACACGCAGCTGTCCAGGGATGAAGGTTGGGTTCAGCTCCCTGCTTTGCTTAACCCATTTAAAATTGTTCCTCCCCACCCACCACTTCTGATCTGGGGGTCTGACAAATTCCCAGACCTGCCACAGCTCTGGCTGAAAAATAAGCTGGCAAAAAGAAATGAGAAAGGATATTTTTAGCTGGCTGAGTTCCCTGGTCTGCCTGACTAATTAATTTTGATGGCACAGCAGGGTGGGCAGTCACGGATGGACCCAAGGCAGCAGGTGGGGGATTTGGGGATGCTGAGCAGGCGCTGTGGCACAGCCACACCAAAGGTCCAGGGCACTGCTGCTCCAAGCCCACCGGGGTTTCTGTTGGAAAACTGAGCTCTGAGAGGGGCAAAGGGATTCCTCCTGCAACAAACTCTTGTTATCTGATCTACAAACAACCCTGGGGGCAAGCCACTGTGACCTTGTACCTTTTATTGTCACTTCTGGCGGTGCAAAGGGGGCACAGAGCAATGAAAGCAAACATTTCCTGACAGCTCCGCTCCCTGCTGTAACAAGGCACTTCTGCTTTCCTAAGAATGCAAATTTCCAGCTGCACTTTGGGTGGGAGCAGCCAGCAACAGCTCATTTTGCCATTCTCTCCAATGCCAGCAGCTTTTCTGACAAACACATTTTGTTCCCACTTCACTGTTTCACTTGCCTTTTTTATTTTTTTCTTTTTTTTATGTTTCTGCCTCCATTAAAATCCCAGCTTCTCATGCAGTGTCTCATCTGCTGTGATGTCCCACACCTGCTGCACAGACACAGGATGTCTCATCTCCTGACGGATCCCCGTGATCATTACACAGCATCCCTGGATTGCAATTTCATTCAGAAAGCAGTGGTGGGTCAGGGATTAGATTTATTGCTCCTGTTCTGTTGGAAAATGTGGCTTTGGGCTCGCTGGGATTTTCCCTGCAGCAGAAACCCCACAGCCCTGCTGGGAGGGGGATTTTATTTTGGGTTTAGGGGATTCTGTGCACTGTCTTTCTGCAATCAGGTGTTTTCCAGGAGATGGATCCGAGGCATGACCAGTTCCTTTTCCCTCTGGGACAAATCCCACTTATCACCTGCTCTCCCTGGTGCTTTTTTCCCATCCCTCCACCGCCCTTTTCCTGCTCCTTGCAGCCCTCACACCATCTCAGACAGGAGAAGCTGTCAGAGCTGTTTAATCTCCTTCCCACTGTGTCCAAGTTCTGTCATCTGTGGGGACGCTTGGAGAACACACAGCTGGGCACAGCTGGAGGAGGCACAGCTGGGAGCAGCTGGGAACAGCATTCAAACATTCCCAGCTCCTCTCTTTACACCCCTCAGTTCTTTCCAGCAGCTCTTTCACATCACTCTTTTTATTTCATAGCAGTTTCTTTCTCCTTTTCTTCTAGAAAACTTGAATTTTTCCATTCTTTTGTATTTTTATTGCTCCCCTCCCCAAATTCTCCCCCAGCCTCTCTAATCTGAAGCACTTTTGGTGGTTTATCCTTGGGAAGTCACCATGAAAAACTCTGATGAGAAGGTTTGGGCTGAGAAATATTCAGTCTGATCAGCCATGAGCACATTTCCTCTCCTTCTGCAAATGTGGACAGTAATTATGCTGGGATGGATGGATGGTTGGATGGATGGATGGAGGACAACCTGATTCTTACAAACTTGTAAACTTTATCCTCAAATAAAAGAATAAATGCTTCAAAATCTGGTATGCAGGAAATATTGTTTGTTTGGACTCAACTTTTTCATTCCTGGCTTTGTGCTGCTCCACAGAAACACAACTGCAGCTGGGACTTGTGCGTGGGAGGGTTGGGACACGGGGAAATACAAAATCCCAGAATGGTTTGGGTTGGAAGGGACCTTAGAGCTCATCTCATGCCACCCCATGCCATGGGCAGGGACACCTCCCACTATCCTGGGGCTGCTTCACGCCCTGTCCAGCCTGGCCTTGGGCAATTCCAGGGATCCAGGGGCAGCCACAGCTGCTCTGGAAAACAGAGAAGCTCTCCAGCTCTGTGGGATGAGGAGGAACTCTGCAGCTGGGCTCACACCACCTATTGTGTGTCCAAGGGGAATCCTTGATGATGATGCCATGGGAAGGGGGTCAGAGGCATTAAAGCTCACAACAACCTATTTCCAATTTGTCCAAAAGAGGAAAATCAGGCTATGAATTCCTAGTGTCAACACTGCTGAAATCCCTGCAAGAAATCCCATTTTCCTGCACAATTTGCAGCTTTGTCCCTTCCCAAACACAGTCCCAAAGCTCAATGAAATCCATAAAAAGCCCTCAGTAACTCTCCAGTTCTGGAGTCAAGCCCTAATGAGCCAATCTGTCATGTCCTTCTGCACCGAGGATGAATTCCCTCTTCAAACTTTTTACTGCTTCAGGAAAAGCTAGAAGAAGACAAGAGCCCTCTTTGCTCCACCAGAAAGGTGTCCTGGCCATGTTTTATCCCTGGAGCAATACAAAACCTGTGGCCAGGTATGAAATATTTGCAGGTAGGAGTGACTCCCTCCTTCGAGCTGAAATTCCCGAGAATCCCAGAACGGTTTGAGTGGGAAGAGACCTTAAAATTCACCCAGTCCCACCCCTGCCATGGGCAGGGACACCTCCCGCTGCCCCAGGCTGCACCGAGCCCTGTCCAGCCTGGCTTTGGTCACCTCCAGGATGCCCAGGTGTGGCACCGCAGCCAGGAGATGGCACTCCAGGATCGGCATTTCCCTGCCCGGAGCGTTCCCCGCTCTCCAAGCCGCCCCTGGAAGCTTCTCCTGGGTTTGTTCCTTTGTTGGAATGTGAACACGGGTGCGGAAGGGCTGCCCCGGCCAGCGGGATGATCCCGTGGAGGAATCCCTTTGAATTCTCAGCACCGGTGCAGGGGGAGGATTTAGGAACCGTCCCTTGGCACGGCATTGAGGCTGTCGGTCCTGCCTGGACCAAACACGCCATTCCCAGCCCACTCTGAAAGGGCAGGTCCGGCCCCTGGCTGCTCCTGCAGGTCTTGTCCGTCCTGGCAGGGCTGATCCAGGCACGGCTGATCCTTGGAGTCACGGTTCCCACTGCATCTGCTTCATTTCTTGTTGCTCATAGTAATGAGGAAATACCTGCAATGAGCTGAGGGCAAGTCCCATGTGCCCAAAATCCAGGCTTGGGTCGCTCCTATGCTTGGGCACAAGAGATTCCCACCAGCTGGGCTGAGAATTCCAGGGCTGTGTGATCCCAGGGAGATAAATCATACTCCCACCATCCCACATCCCATCCTCCTCCATAGTCAGCTCAATTTTTACACAACACAAGAAGAGAACAATTAATTTCCAGCCCCAATCACCTGGATCTCTCCCTCCACATCCCTGTTCCTGCTGGGTATGGAATCTCCAGACCCCACCAGTGATGGATCCTCATTTACCAATAAATAATGCAAGCAGTCCCTCGTTCCTCAGCGCTGCAGAAATGAAGACACAGCAGGGATTTGGATCTCCCTCCTGGCTTCCTGCTGAGCAATTCCACTGCAGCTGCTCCTGGGGAACGAGGCAGCCTCCATTTCTAGTAGGAATGTGTCATATGGATGGAGGTAACTTCACAAAACAGAGCTGTTCTGTGCTTCTGTAAGAACCCCACCCTGGGAGGCACTGGGTGAAAGCCTTTTCCTGCTCTCTTGGGTGGTGCAAGGGAAATCTCCAGCTCAGCCACGTCCTCCTGGGGGACTCCTGCCCTGGAGTGGCTTTGGGCTGTCAGACACCGCACAGGGTGGGAACACATCACAAAGTGGGAACAAGTCCTGTGCCCAGGGATGGGGAGCTGCCTGGACAGGGACTGGTGGGACATGGCTGTGGGTCTGCAGGGAGGGTTTGTGTCTGGGCTGGTGAGTTCAGCCTCCCTGGGTGGAAATCTGGGGGATCCAGAATCACCCACTTGCTGTAGCCCCAATAAAAGAGCCAATCTTGGCTTCCACCCCTGAGCCCTGCAGCAATCACAGCTCTCAAAGGCCCCGAGCAGAGCTGTGATGACCAAACGCTCCTTGGCCACCACAGAGCAGCTGCTGAACGCCAGCTCCTTCCTGACTCCCGCCATTCCATCAGAAATAAACTCAGCTCAGAACCATCAATGCTTTATTTTTGTTGGTTGTGGTTGGGTGTGCACAAACCACACCCCTGCCGGCATCGTGGTGGGTCTAAACAGCCTTGGCCAGCCCAACACGGTTGTTGGCCCGGTCAAAGATGCTGTAGTACACCCTGATGAAGACGTCTCCCAAGATCCAGAGGTCCCCAGAGGTGTCCTGGAAGCTGCTCATGCAAGATTCTTGGTTGTGCTGCATTGGAGCACAGGAAGGCAATTGGGGAAATGTGGGCTGTTGTCTCCTCTTGCATTGCTCTGGAGGCCCGTGGCCATCCATGCCCTGTCTCCCAGGGGAGTGGGAGAAGCCAAGGGGACCAGAGCCACTGGGGGGAGTGGAAACACCTTGAGAGAGGCTCCTGCAGCTGGGACCAGCTGGTTCCCACTCACCTGTTCAGTGTAGGCCACGGCAGACACAGGGTACTGGACCCCGTCGATGACAAAGATGACATCGGGCATGGCAGGGATGGAGCTGCAGTTCACACTGTGCTGCAGGGAGCAGAGGGAAGGGGCTCTCAGGAGGGAAACATGTTCAGAGTGAGGAGAGACCTCACTGGGGTCTTCAGCCTCCTGGTTGAAGGAGGGGCAGCTCTGGTCTCTGCTCGCTGTGACAGGGACAGGACCCAGGGAAGGGCTGGAGCTGGGCCAGGGGAGTTTAGGTTGGATCTCAGGGAATTTTCTTCCCCCAGAGGTGCTGGCACTGCCCAGGTTCCTCAGGGAAT